CTGCTGTTGCAATAAGCCCAATTTTCTTTCACTAACATGCCATTCATCATTGCAGGTGTKCAACGGACGACACGATGCAATACAACTACGCTGCTAACAGAGTCCAAAACTTTTCSATYAACGCGTTTCGATTCATCGCCGATCACCCCATCGTTTACCTTCATTGCATGCTATTGGTCTGTCATAGTAGCTCTAAGAAAACCAAGTGTTCTAAAGGATGTAATATTAAAGAAAGGCGTAGGAGAGAGATAACAAGAAATATTTATCAAGAATCAAAGGCTTATCATCTCGCATCGGGACCAATAACTCTTAAAAAGCCCAAAGATGTTTCAGGTAGGAAGAGCATTTTGACACTAGGCCAACGTCGTGCTTAACATGAGCCGTTTCAATTCTTGTGTCATATAAAATCTGTAAACTCTAGGGATAATTGGTTTTGATTTCGGGGGGAGGTTTAAAAATCAGTCAGCCACGCACTTTTTTCAAGACTTCCGGGATCTTCAAGGGGTCTTTTTGAAAATTTCTGACGAGCATCATTCCCGGTACTTTTACACCGGAGTACCCCCCTCCGGTTTTTGATTGCTAATTTAGCTTTAAATAAAAGTAGTCTAATCAAGCTCAGCTGTATCGTAAAATCCTTTGTATTTTTTTCACAGGTGACGTTGGAAGCCAGACAATCATTATTTCTACTGTGTCATCCCTTGCCGGAATTCTCCTTATAGTAACACTGGCTCTTGCTGTTTGTCTGGTCCTCAAGCGAAGATCTGAGAGACGTCACCGAGAACGTGAACCTGAAGAGATACGACCTTATGAAGATGTAGTGCTTCTTAGTGATACGTCGAGTATTGARTTAAGCCGTAGCTACTCTGCTCTCAACACTACACAAGATGTTTRAAGCTGCAAATATATTGTATTATTAACAAGTGTGTTATTGTCAATAGTATAGGTTTCGTGCTGTTGACTTTTGATATTTGAAGTGTATTTCCAATACGTCTTTCTTGACTACATGCTGCTTTGCAATAAGCTGAATTTATTGTGGGAGGATCATGTCATTAATAAGCACTGAAAATATAGGAAATTAAATGTTCGCAAAATGTAAGATAGAAATATGTTATTACTGATGTTTGAAASGTCAGTCATTTTCAGTCATAAATCAAGAATTTTGCACTTCAAAGTTTTGAYATTTGAATTGTATAGTTGTAGGGGTTTAGATGTTCATTGTTGCTATCAAGGAAATTTCATATATGTGTACAAAAGCTCTATTTAGACCTCAAACCATCGACATATCAGAGTGACTATGAATATAAAATCATTGAATATATTGTATATTATACCCGTATAAAACTGGACGAG